TTAGTTGTGAAATTCTGCGTAATTAGCATAGAGACATGTGTAGAATTGCGGTACTAATTAGTTGAAAATTCCGGAAGGCTTTGAGCTTTTATACACTTGAACTAACTTTATAAATAGGATTACTATACCAACCCAGCATGCAATGTGTGTAAGGAGAGTATTTAAAAATATGGCATAAACAAAATTTTAAAATGTTGTTTATGGATCTTACAGGATTAAAACATTTTATTGAGAAAAATTCTATCTATATTAATGAGTATAAATTTAAGAACAAATACATTTATAAAAATTATTATCAATCATGCATTGTAAGAAATTCTGGATCAAAATACGATATAAGGTACCGACAAAATATTATTCCTTGATTTTTGCATAAATATTTATTTAATTAGATCGAGAAAGTGGTAAGGTAATAATTACCGAAAAAATAACGTTATATCAGATTTCTCCCGTAACATATTCCGATAAAAAATGATTTTACGGTAAAATAAGTATCGGCAACTTGATTTACTTTTTCATAGATCCTGAATTTTTTTAAAATGTGCATGCTAATTTAATATCTTATTAAGGACAGAGTTTAAAATAAATTTTTGCTTAAAACAGATAAACGGTTGGAAAAATGAAGAAAAAAAATAATAATTGGCAAAGGAAAATTTTACTTGCATTAAAATAATTGAGTTAATTGAGTTCACTAACATAATATAATCAGGTTGCTTAAACGTTAACTGCACAGTAAAAATCCATTCTTATTGTGAAATATTGTACCGTAATATTCATAGAAATATTTATTTCATTTATTATTACTATAAAAGCTCCGGAATATTAGATTTTTTGTTCTGAAACATGTTTCGGTTAAAAGGGATTTCATAGTAAGAAGTACAAGTAATCTGAGTGCCGATACTATTTATCATAATTTGATACGGAATTTTTTGCCGTGTGTCGAAAATTTATTAAAAAGTTTATTCTTCGCAATATTCAGCAGTTGATCTTTTTTTTTCATCTTCTTTTCACTATCCTAAGTCATATTTTTTCTTTAATAAATCATTACCACAATTTTATTAAATGCTTTTATTTTATTAAAACAAACTCCCTAAATTTAAATAGGGGAGATGTGCATTAGTATTTATAAGGATAGTAAAAGATATTTTTGAATTCTTATATTTATGAACTTTATACCTTGATAAAATCTAATTAAATTTCTTAAAAACATTTAATGTACTTATTTTTTCTAATAATTTTGAGAATAATTAAAATTGTAATAATATTTAGCACAAAAATACCACCAATATTTCTAACATAGTATCTATGTTTATAGTTAAATTCGTATATAGATTATTGTTACTCTTTTTTGCTTCAATTTTTGTGAGTTATCGACATCAAATTCTTTTTGAAAAATATTTTTTAAACAAAACGACAATCTAAGTCTCAAAAAGAATTGAATAATTATAATTGGAGCCGCTCCAATCATCTTACAAATATTTTACCAAATTTTTCAACATTCCAAATTTTTTAACACATAGAGCGATTTCTTCTTACAACTTGCGGTACGGTACAAATATTTAATACAAAATCATGTATAAATTTATGTTATGTATAATTAAGACAATAAATTATGTATAATTAAGACCTACTATGTGAAGACCTAAATTTGAGTAGGGCATCAACTCCACTAATTAAATAAAATAGGAACTTTTTTTCGTATAAGTTCATGCAAGTCATTTTTTATAAACAAGTACATCCAATTATTTTTTCCGCCAAACAGATTATACCGAAATGCAGACAGAATAGATAAAACAATACAACAGTTAGATATTACTTATGTATTTTACAACTGAACAGAAATGCACTTATACTCCGAAATCTGTATAGATACTCTAACCTTTAAGATTGTATTTACTACGTAAATTATTACTTTTTATGTGAAAACAAAGAAGAAAAACGTACTGCAAATTGTTGTATGAATGATTCGATTACAACATTTTCCCCCCGTATTGTTAAAATGTTAAAGAAGTATTAAAAGGCGGTTCTTACCGGTACTCTAACTTATGAGAATTGATTTTCTTCTTAGCTTATTCTATTTTTCATTAATTCAAATGGTTAAGGCTCTTAAAATGTAATATGGTGTGGAATTTATTGTAAATGATATTATAATATAAATTTTTTGTTTACTTACAAGAATAAAGAATCAATAATCCTCCAAACGGTTAAAATAAATGACTAAAATTTTATTTTAACGTTCTACGATCTCACAATAACTAAAAATAAGAAGTAGAGAGATTTGACAGTAAAACTAACGATGATTTTCTCTAAAATTTAAATTTAAGAGCCGATTGTTTCTAAAAATTATAAAAGTAAAAATTATATAAGCTTTAGAATATTTACTAATTTTGCACATGCTAATTGTGTTTAAAACCGCAAAATGAAAAATTTACTAGGTTTTATAATGAGTTCATGCGCTTGATTTTATTGTAGATCGATGTAGTAATAAGATAGACTGTGATAATGAATCTAATTAATTTCTTTTGGAATGAAAATATTCCTTTTATACATTGGGTGAAAAAACACCAGTAAACAAAAAGTTTTATTAGTTAAATTAAATTTTTTTTCAACACCGTGATTTTCAATTTAAATGATTTGCAAAATGGCAAATTTTTTTTTAAATTTTTGAAAATTTGATGTCTTAAGAGAGAGCGATAATTTTTTGTGCATGCTAAACATATTATTTAAACACTAGTTCATTTAATTTTTAGCAAAAACATTTTTGAGACACAAAAACGGGCTTTCTTATGGATTTTAATATATTCTATAACTTACAGCGTATTTATTAATAAAATTCAAATATACTAAATCCATGACCAATGGATGATTACTTAATCATTGATAAAAATGTCTCCATAACTCTAAATGCTTACTAAAAATTGTAAATAGTTATTTTGAATCAAATATCCTGCAAGGGGGCACTTAGAAGCATTATAACGAGGCGAAATCACATGAGTCTCGGCGATTCAATTGAAATGGTTTGTAAATTATATATGCTCAGTTCGAGAAATAACCTTAATGTCCTTCACGGGGAAAAGCATAATTCTCCACTATTATACCATTTATAAAGGAGATGCATGCCTCTTTATTTTGCCGAAATTGCAACACGTTTTTGATTAGATGTGTACAGCGCACTGCTGCGGTAATAAGCCTAACTACTAATTAAACCATGTTACTAACTAATTGTCGCTTTCTTTATCAATTTTCGATCATCAGTGATTTATTTTTCTAATTTTGTTATTTTTTCATAAGTAATTTGGACTAAATGTAAGTAAGCAAATATAATGTATGCGCATTTGTCTTAGAAAAAGTAAATTACGATTTTATTTAAATATTTCATCGGAAAATAATTTTTTCCATAAATTGTATTATCATTACGAATTATTTATGTGTTTGGTATGCATCATTAATATTTCTAATTTCAACAGAAGAATAGATATGAATACGGGATTACTTTTATACTAACATTATAGACGTTTTTAGCCATATTATCAAGATAATTATTTTTCTTTTCCCTTTTTATAGTAGATTTCGAAAAATAGAAAGGAATTAAAAAGATGTGAACACAGTGTTCTAATGTTAACTTTATAAATAAAATATGAAATCTTGGAGCAATGAACTTCTTTAGAAAGTAGATACTTTATTGTTTCAACCTATAATCATCTTAGATTCTTGTTACCTTAAAAGTTTCCTTTCACGCAAGTTGTTTTGGTTCTAATATGAGGATGTTGCATGCAGGAACCAATTTTTTAGAACTGAAATACATGCTGACATAATATGTTTTATAAGCAATATGTGTGCTAAGACAGATAAATTTATATTATTATTAATATTGGACTGTATGTAAGTGAAATATTTTTGTTTGACTTAAATTAAAAACATAAATCTGGGACAATATCAAGTACTACATTTAGTGTTTCAAAATATGTTTTTAAAAATATTTGTAACCAAACATCGACATTAATTCAAAAATATTCACCATTGTACTTGCCGAGATAAAAATATTTTAAATTCAACACATCAGTTCTGTGTACTATGGCTTTATATAAAGAAAAAGTATTATAATATGTAATAGAATAGTTGTATAAATTTATACTGTATAATATACATTAAAGATTATCAACAAAGTACTCAATAAATGTTCAATCTTATCAGTAAAATATTAAATTTTTAAAAAAATAAGTTAAATCTTTTTAATAATATGGAATTTTACATAAGATTTGTTTTATATGAGAAAAATATCCAATTATTTTCTCTATAACAGCAATATTTTCAAAAAATAGCCATTTTATTTTAACCAAAAAATATTGTGGAACTTTACTTCTAAATAATTTTAATATGAAACGCAAATGCGACGCTCTAAGGTAAAGAAACACTCTATGCTCCAGTTTTAGAATCATGCATATGTTTTTAGAATCATGTATGTTTGTTTTGGTACTTTTTAATTCCTGAGTGACATATAGAGACTATAAAACTATATATTTTATTGATATAATAGGCGATTATCACTTCACTGTAAAATATTCCAGATCAAATTACGATATAAAGTACCGGCACTTTGATGCATCATACCTTAAATCCATTTTTACCGTAAAATATTACCCCTCAATTTTTACAGTAATATTTAATTAGAGACATTCAGTGATTTTACTGTATTATTACTTTAAAAACTTACGAAAATTTATACGAATTCAGAATTTCGTTCCACCACACGGTTCGGAAAAAATTTTCCGTATTTGTTCCAGAATATTTTACAGTGTTCAATGATTGCAGGATCTATTGACCCAATTATTTTGGATATCACTGTTGTCGATAATAATGAAAATATTTTTTTACCCCTCTCAAAACAGAATAGTGCTCATCAAATTTTGTTTTAAACAATAAATAGTAAATTCAAATAAGAAAGAGTTTGAGTACGTTGTAAATTATTGGCTTATCGATGAATAGAATTTACAACTTACCGGATGTAGACTCAACTTCCAACTGCATAAACTGCATCACAACAATTATTCCAAGTATGGTAACTAGCTTATTGATTGAAAGTTTAGCTAGTATGTTTTGAAAATAGCAAGTTATAAAACAGCTAGTATTTTCCATCATGCTTTCTTGTTCAGGAAATCAAATATATCTATATTTACGGTATAGAATTATCCAAACAAAATTGTTTCTCTAAAATTTTCTTGAGTATCCCGAACTAATGGTTTTTAATGTTTTACGCTGTAAATGTTTCATATTGCAACGGATATATCCAACATATAAAAAACATGTAATATTTTCAAGTAGTTTAAATCGAATATCAGTAACATGAAAAAAATAAACAAAATAAAATATCACTTTCACAAATTTTAGTACAAATTAAAATTTTGTGAGTCTCCTGGTAGCTTTAAAAAATTAAAAAATGTGGATGACAGTTTATTATCTTAACCATTTTTAATATTATAATCATTTTGAAAACGTTCTTTTTTTCCAGATATTTTTCACATTTTGACAAATATTAATCAGATGTTTACCAAATATTATAGATTAGAATAATTTAAATAATCACATGACTTGCAGAAATTCACCGGACAACTACAAAAGTTGTTGTTTAGTATAAAGGGAAAAAAAGGGGAAACAAAGTTTGCACTTTTCCCTCTTCTCTTTCCACAAAACTTATTTTGCACTGAGAGAAACAACTAGGGATCATTCAGAGAAAAGAAGAGAAAGGAGAGGATGCTGAATGAGTCCAACGCAGTGGTCTGACTGGGGCGTCTCGGCAGGAGAAGGTGCGACAGAAGCGCCCCAGCGCCCTAACTACAGGGAAAGGGGCGGCCGGGTAAGCAACGACAGCGCCTATGCTCAGAAAGATGTCACGTGGTACCCCCACGAAAGAACAGGAAGAGGAAGTCTCCCTGAGATCACGTGATCGGATGCTGTTGCAGTCAAATTTTTCTCTAATGATTCAACGTGCATCAAAATTAACAGCAAATCCTAAATTAAATGTTCTGGGATTGAATCATGCATGTTCGCCTGCAATTGCATTTCTTAGGATATTCGGTTGTTTTGAGACATCTTAGAATTGATCACTAAACAAATTTGAGTCGGCTTATGTTGCTTTTTCGTAAAACAAACCTGTTTTTTTTTCTGTGTAATACTTTACAGAAATGAAATAATTGCTCAAATATTTTCAGTAGTTCAATAGTAAAATTTAAATTTTTTTTTGAAACTTAAACAATTTTCTTTTTTAAATTAACTGTTGTTTGTTATTTTTTTACTTAATATTCCCCTCCCCCTTTTTTTTCATTTGTCTATTATTTTTCTTTGTTTTCTTCGTTATGAACTTATATATATATATATATATATATATATATNAATTATCATCATGGAAATATTTCGAAATGGCAAAATCTATGCAATTTATTTATCATATATATACCGAAGAGCCATTACATTATGACCACCTTCCATCTATAACGATGGGATCGCCCAGGGTTTCATACTTTCTCGCCCAGAAACAATGTTTTCATGGGGCACATTAGGTCCCATAATCCTCATAGAACAATCCCTGACGTCTGTAAGCTACTTGAACATAGTTGCAGACCAGGTTCACCCATTCATAGCAACAGTTTTTCCTGTGCAGGATGGAGTTTACCAACAGGATAATGCACCATGTCATAAGGGTCGAATCGTCGAGGAACATTCCAGTGACTTTCAAGTCATGTCTTGGTCCCAAGTTCACGTGACGTTAATCTAATGGAGCATTTGTGGTCCTACTTGGAAAACCAAATTCGTGCTGCTACGCTACCCCCTCGCAATGTGAGGGAATTGCAGGACCAGTTGGCGAGCGCTTGGTACCAGATATCTCAGACTACCTAACAGCACCTTGGTGCTAGCAGCTTTGAGGGCTGAAGGTGGTCCTACATGTTATTAACCTGGTGGTCCTAATGTAATGGCTCTTCGGTGCATATGTATAGATATATCTTGTTTTAAATTATATTTTGTTGTTGATCGCAGTTATCATGGCATTCGCTTGTTGTCTTGAAACTTCTATGGGTTTATTGTGAAATTCATTTAAATCATGTTCTGCTGTTTCTTTAAACAACAATCCAATTCTTCCCAATTCAAAAATTTTCACTAGTAAAATATTTTTCCTTTTTTTCCTAGCTGCTGAATTGATAGAATGTTAAAAAAAATTCCTTTGGAATACAGCAAACATTTATTTGTGTGTATTATATGTATTGTCCAAACATTATTTCATTGTTTGTATTTAATCATGGCACTAGCTTGTTTTGAAAAATTTTTGGAGGATTTTAGGCCACTTTAGTCCGACCATATTGTTTTTTTGTACAACAAACTAGTTTTTTTAGAATGTAATTTTTTTTAGCAGTTAAACAATTGTAAGATTATTTAAAAGAAGCTCAACAGATAGAATGGTAAAAAAATATTTTTTGAAAGTAACTAACAGTTGACAGCGAAGAGAAATTCTGGCAAAATTTCCTTACTGTATGGTAAAGACATTTCCGGTAAATAAATAATAGTTCTGCCTAAGAAAACCAAACTTTACGGTGTTTAAGCCATTCATTTAGTAATTTTTCGTTCATATATTAACGGTTTTGTCAGAAAGTTTGGTTTTTAAAGTTTTAGTTCTAATTACCACACATTTATTAAAAATACAAAACTGAAAAGTGAATTTCACCATGTTAATGATTTTTTTTTGTCATGCTCTAATTTATGACAAAATAACCACATTTAAACATGATTAATAAAGTTTATCAAAAATTAAAAAACATTATTTCCTTGTTAATTTTACCAAAATCATTCCCAAAAATCTTCTGTAAAAGTTACCAAGCATTTTGGTCTTACCATAGAGAGAGAAATGCATGTAAATTTATTCTATTCTGGTAGTTTTAACCATACATGTACTTTGTACTTTGTCGATAATTGTATAATTTCAAAATATTATCAGTTATTTTAAAAAATCTATGAAAGAAACTTTTATGGAACCTTACCCAAAATGGATAATCCATCATGCGTGTTGAGGCTCACGAATGCAGCCCCTAAGAATTGTTAATGCACTCGCTCTCTGTGCTGGAGATTTCTTTTAATAAATATACCCTGTGCTAATAACAGTTCTATTTGTTGCGACAGTTAAAAATTGAGTCGTGGTTCCAGCGAAAATCTTGCCTTAAATGATTTGAACTGGGTTCGAATCACATCGATAGCTGAATGATACGAATTCCTTACCCAGCTCAAACAGACCACAGTGCTGTTGTGAAATACCCTCAGTGGTAGACGGATCATTTGTTAGAGTCCCCTTGCCATCACGCTAACCGTTGGAGGTTTTCTCCACTCTAACTGTTCTCGTGGTTGGTTCTCTCCACTCTATCAGTCTGTATACTTCTATCAGTAGAGCTGCGGGTGATGGGCAACCTTTGTTTGAATGGGTATCAATCTGAAATCTGAATACATCGGGTGTAATGAAATTTCACCCGATGTATTCAGATTTCAGATTGATGATTCTTGGATTCAAATTTCTATTAGGCAATAGCTGTATAAGATCTGTTGTCTATAAGTGATATTTTTAAGCTAGTTGAAATTCTATGTAGCTTCCAGAAATTTACTATATGGCTATCAACGATGTTTGTAAATAATGGTCACCACCATTTCTTACCTTGAATCTTGATGCGGTATTTATCTATGGCACTGTGGTGTATGTCCACACCTCCCATATGCTTTTTGTAATCCAAAATAACGTTCAGCTGTGAAGTCACAACTTCTGTTCGTGAGTACGGATGGCTCAATTCGCCTTCCAATGAGGCAAACCGTGTTCAAATCCCGGTGATGGCTGGTTGATACTATTCCTCACGCGGCTGACGCTGATCACAGTGCTGACGAAATATCGTCAGTGGTAGATGGATCATGGGTAAGAGTCCCTTTGCAGTCAGGCTAACTGTGGGAGGTTCTCGAGGTGTTCATCTCCACGTAACGGGGTTAGTTCCATCAAAAAGTCCTCCACGAAGACAAATTTCTCCCAATATTCAATCCAGAGGTTCCCTTTTCTTCTTGATGGGGTTCAGAATTATAATTCTATGGAGATAAACATTAGAAGTCGTAATACCAAAATTAGGTCATCTATTCAACGACGTTTATAAAACATGAAACAGTTAAAAATTAAAATGTAGAATTTATATAGCTTCAATAATGAAAAAAAATATTCTACATTTAAAATTTAAAGGTGCACTGAAATCAGTGAATGTAAAAGTGTAAAATTAAAAAAATTGAAATCTTTGTTCATGGGGAAAATGAGTTTGGTAGGAATAGGAAAATAGCGCACATCACTTATTCATGTTTGCAATATAATCAAATATTTCCATTATAAAAAAAGATTATTTTCGTATAAATCAAATATTTGATTAAATTTATGTTTTTCATTAAAATAACTCACAAGCCTTTCCAGTTATTATATTTTGGATAATAATGGAATTTTTTTTATGCTTAAATTTTTGTTGATATTTGATTATTTGTGTGTTTTACAACATCTGGTGCCTGGATACTGTATTGTGTATTTTCTTAGCAAGACCCAAATGGTCGATTTTTTTTAACTGATGTAATTGTGTTTTTTTCTGCGTTTTTTTTGCATCATATTTAGGTCATGAGTTCCTTTATATTTTTTTTGTTCTTAAAATATTTTCATAAGTATCTAGAAGAAAAATTGCTTCGGGAATATTCGTATGAACATTTCCTTCCGAAAAAGAATATAATGTATATATATATATATATATATAAGTGTGTGTGTGTGCAACATGCATCGATAAACAGTCGTTTTATATTAAGTAAGAATTTTTTATTATTTATTGTATTGCGCAAAATTATATGAAACCATAGTCTGAAGTAAGATACAGGTCCAAAATTATAAGCATTTTCTCGCACTCAGGTAAGGTTACTGAGTTTGAATTCTACTCAATTTGATTTTTCCATTAAACATTTTATAAATTCAATCCAGATGGGAATTTATTTGATTTAGCGCAAGGAATTATTCAAACAGAAATATCTCGCTTGTCTAGCTATCAAACTGGATAAAGGTCAGTACAAAACTAATAACTATTCACAAAAAAATACATTAAAGGAACTACCTTATTTTAAAATTCTGATTTAAATTAAAAACGGTATAATATCACAGTAAATCAAGAAAAAAATATTTGAGTTAAATACATTAATTATAGGATATATAAAAAATATTTTAATGAAAGAAAATAAATTTTTTAATTTTTATCAATTTTATGCGGATGACAACCTAAAATATAGAAATTGAAGCAGAAAAACTGGATCCCATCATGTGATTTTTTAACCAATAAAAATGCACCGAGAACAAAAAAAAAGCTACGACACCTTCATTAGATTATTTAATATAGTTTGGTTCATGGAATTTTAATAAACTTCGCTTTTTTAACCTTTATCACCATTTTTTTCAGTTGAGATTGTATCTAATTTTATGTTTTGAATATTTTAAAATTACGCATTTTCATGCAAAAATAAAATTGCTATAGTTCTCAAAATATATTTTTAAAAGGAAAGAAAATAAATTTCGAAAGAAGGAGATTGTCTACGAAATTTCAAACACGAAATTTTGTTGAGAAAAGTTTCTCACAGTTTCCATATAGTTTACGTAATAAGGTCTGTTATGGCAGCCCACTTAGTTTAAGGATTAGAGAACTACATTAGTTTGATATCACACTAATGTCGTTCTATAATCCAATTTATTATAACATGTTATAGTATGAGTGCAAATGACTTGCTTAG